TTTGAACATCCCAACATAACATTACATTATTGGACAGAGTTCAGACAACCATTAGATGGAAATATATAGCTTTAGATGCTGTAATAGATAAGAAAGCTCAGAAATCCACATTAAGAATCTTAGGACATCATAGGTATTTAAGAAATTGAAGCCATACGTTCACATAATACTTTGTAAGCATTCGTAGTTGGATTGCTAATAATAACTCTAATAATTGAAATCAAGAACTATTCCTATTATTGTTTAACAAATGACATACAAAATTCTCTAGATTCATAAAATAAACCTAGAGATAAAATAATAAAAAGGGATGACTAACTTATATTCTCAGTAGCATAATTGCCAAGAAAAGGCATGAATGGAGAAAGAAGGACTTAATTTATATAACATTCTAAAACAGGGCAGCCTTATTTTTAGTGATAGAAAAGTTTCTGTATCCTAGGTTTTGAAGAAGGGAGGAAATAACTGAAACCAGGAACACAATTTTCTTTATAATGAAAATAAGACATACCTTTCCTGAGATGATGAATACTAGGGTGTCTACATTTATTACAACTCATTGCACTGTATGGTTAAACTGTATATTTTTCTTTTTTGTGTACTTTTTTTTAATTTCTTTTTAATTTTTACATTTCCTATGTTGTCCCCTTACCCCATCCCCCACCCACCCCGGAACCCCCAATCCCCTCACCCCTCCTCCTTCTTCTCTGTGGATGTAAACTCTATCTATTCCCCCCCACTCCCACCTCCCCACCCTCAAAATTCCCACCCCCTGGGGCATCCAGCCTTCATGAGGTCAAGGTTCTCTTCTTCCACCTATGCCCAGCAGGGCCCTCCACTTTTACATATTCAGTTGAAGCCCTGGATCCCCCACCTAAGTGCTCCCAGGCTGGTGGTTTAGACCCTGGGAGCTGTGGTTGGTTGGTATTATTGTTCTCCTCATGGTGCCTCAAATCCTTTCAGCTCCTTCAGTCTTCACTCTAACTCCTCTATTGAGAAACCCATGATCAGTTCAATGGCTAGTTGTGAGCATCTGCCTCTGAATATGTCAGACTCTTGAAGACCTCTGAGGAGACATCCATATCAGGCTCTTATCAGCATGCATTTCCTGACTTCCACATCAGCATCTACCTTTGGTGACTGCACATGGGATGGATACTCAGGTGGAAAGGTCTTCAGACGGCCCCTCCTTCAGTTTTTGTCCCTTGCTTTGTCTCCATATTTGCTCCCTTGAGTATTTTGTTGCTCCTTCTAAGAAGGACCGAATCACCCCCACTTGGTCTTCCTTCTTTATGGACTTCATGTGGCCTGTGAGTTGCATCTTGGGCATTTCAAGGTTCTGGGCTAATATCCAATAATCAGTGAGTGAATACCATGTGTGTTCTTTTGTGATTGGCTTACTTCACTCAGGATGATAATTTCTAGTTCCATCCATTTACCTAGGAACCTCTCGAATTCATTGTTTTTAATAGCTGAGTAATACTCCATTGTGTAAATATACCACATTTTTTTTAATCCATTCCTCAGTTGAAGGACATCTGGGTTCTTTCCAGCTCCTGGCTATTATAAATAAGGCTGCTATGAACATAGTTGAGCATATGTCCTTATTATATGTTCGAGCATCTTCTGGGTATATGCCTAGGAGTGGTATAGCTGGATCCTCGGGTAATGCTATGTCCAATTTTCTGAGGAACCGCCAGACTGATTTCCAAAGTGTTTTCACCATCTTGCAGTCCCACCAACAATGGAGGAGTGTTCCTCTTTCTCCACACCCTCACCAGCATCTACTATCACCTGAGTTTTTAATCTTAGCCATTCTGACTGGTGTGAGATGGAATCTCAGGGTTGTTTTGATTTGCATTTCCCTGATGACTAAGGATGCCGAGCATTTCTTTAGGTGCTTCTTGGCCATTCGAGTTTCTTCTGTTGAAAATTCTTTGTTAAGCTCTATACCCCATTTTTAATAGGGTAATTTGGTTGTCTGGAGTCTAATTTCTTGAGTTCTTTGTATATATTGGATATTAGCCCTCTATCAGATGAAGGATTGGTAAAGATCTTTTCCCAATTTGTTGGTTGTCGTTTTGTCCTATTGATAGTGTCCTTTGCCTTACAGAAACTTTGCAATTTTATGAAGTCCCATTTGTCAATTCTCGATCTTAGAGCATATGCCATTGGAGTTCTGTTCAGGAACTTTTCCCCTGTGCCCAAGTATTCGAGGCTTTTCCCCACCTTCTCTTCTATTAGTTTCAGTGTATCTGGTTTTATGTGGAGGTCCTTTATCCACATAGACTTGAGCTTTGTACAAGGGGATAAGAATGGATCAATTTTCATTCTTCTACATGTTGTCTTCCAGTTGAACCAGCACCATTTGTTGAAAATGCTGTCCTTTTTCCACTGGACAGTATATTTTTCATTACACATGATTTTGACTCAGAAATAATTGGAAGAGAAAAAGGTTATGTTGAAGTTTATTACAAAAATACAACAATGATCAGTGACTAATATATCCTTATTTGATAAAAGATAAACCTTCACAAATTTACCAAGTAACACAGATGAACGAACCCAGCTTTATGCGCAATATTATACTTACTGAAAAGACTGTGATTTCCCAGTAAAGTGAGCATCAAGACAAGGATACCCACTGCCACTGGATTTTTAGTACAAAAGTGAAAATTCTGGCCAACTTGGCAATTAGGGGATAAGTTCTATAATTAAAATGGAAGATACAAACTGTCATTATTTACAGGTCATGAGTCTATATAACAAAAATCCTCTACAGTTAATCAGCAATCCAATTATTCCTACTAATTAGGGAATTTACAAATTTGCTGCACACAATGGCTTAAACAAGTTAGCTTTCTCCCTCTATAGCAGGGTTCAGCCAACTAATGCCTGCTAGCCAAACCCAGCTGTCAACCAGTTTCCTAAATAAACTTTTATTGGAACATAGCCATGTCCAACTGTTGATTTATTGTCTGGTGGCTTCTTTTTCATCACCATGACAGAACTGAATGGTTATGATATACTGAGTAGCCCACAATGCGTAAATTATTCACTATCTAAAGAAAGAATCAAAGAGAAAAGCATGATAGAAAAATAAGATGCAGTTTTAAAGGTAAAACATGCTTATATTTATTTTCTGCCATAAACCTATAAATTATCCTAATCCAAATGAACCCTGCTTTCATGGTAATATTTTTGTTAAAATTTGAAAAAGGCAGACCTGTATTGATATATTAATCAATTTATCATGATACATCCAAATCTAAATTAAATTCATTCATAAACTCAATTAAATATAGTTAGATATTTGAGATACTTTGAAAATTCTCCCCATAATGCACATAGAAGATGAAAATACCCATTAAACAGAGATGTAAATTGTGTTCTTCCTTAAAGCTATTTAATGAATGCAGTCTAGGATTTGCTGAGAGGCAAATAGATTCTAAGAACAAGACACAGAGACACGATTACAGATGAATAATGACTGACAAATGCAGTCTATGAGTGTATACTTGAATTATGAAGTAAAGAATGAAAAATATTTACCATCTGGAAAAAATAGACATGGATTTTTAATTAACAATACACATAAAAGTGGAATTTGGTTGCACTAAGCATTGCAATGTGAATAAGGGATTTAGCAGACCAGGAAAAAAATTACATTGTCCTCTGAGACACAAATCGAGATAATCATCAAATTTTCCAAAGTAAATATCAAAATAAATAATATGAATGGATCAGGCCATGTGAAATAAATTATGTACACAGCGCTTAGCATATAGCATAGCCATGCAATTTCTGAAGTTATAAAACAAAAGAATACAAAATCATGTCAAAACGTGCCAAGTAGCTGTGTGTGTATGATGCGCAGAAGGGAAAGTCTAAACCAATCATGAATAATTTTTAGAGAAACTCCAACTCAGTAATTGGGTGATTAAAATAAAGATAATTTGCAGCCTTGAGGTAAGCAAATCTGTAATAATTAAATTAAATTTGTAGAGTGTGTGGGGAGACAGGAGCACTTAAGCCCTTGTGCTAAGATCACAGCTCTTTTGAGTACGCAGCCCCAGAGCTTGGGAGCGGCTTAACTATCAGTGTATGCATAAACTTTCTGTGAAAGTAGGCGTACTGACTGTACAGGATACATTTGTCAGTATCCATGTTCAGCGCAACCTTGAAGAACTTAATGAACTTACTGCATATGTTTTCATCAGCCTGTTCACCAGTTTATGTTCCTGGTGTATTTGGACCCATGTTTATGTGTTTTCATACATGCTGTCACATTTTCTTCTTGCTTAGTTTGTTTACGTGATTTCTCCATGTGACTCGGAAACCTAACTCTTTTTTTTTTTTTTTTTTTTGTGTCCACATTGGTTTTATTGTAACAAAGCAACTTGTACACTTCAACAATTAAAATGAGCATCTTTTTCCTTCCAGTGAAAACCGAAAAAGAAAAAAAATAAAGTTACAACAGAAAATGTCAACTCCAAATAAAACCCTCCAGGTTCTGCTGATTCTCCCACTGAGTAGCAGGGCTCAAGTCATCGTCAGGAGAGAATTTTATTTTAAAAGTGTCACCTTAAACTGCAAGGATGTCTGTTAAACATCACAATTAAACATGCCAAAGGAGAAGCCGTGTTGTCAGATGCCCACCTACCCCCCGACACCTCAAACCCACCCTTGCTCACCGTCTATACCCCCCCCTTTTTTTCTTTTTTTATTAAACAAGAGAAAGTAGACAGGTATGTGTTGGTAAATGCTAACTGTCTGCATTCACATAGAGACACAGTGTAATCTCTGAGCCCAATACAGAGAGAAAAGAAAAAAAGCTAGAATTCTATACACTACTACCCAGGGGCCTAGCACCCTCCAGCCCCCAGCAGAGCCTAGGGAACTGGAAGGCTTTTATTTTTCTCCCAGAGCATGGTGGTGGTGTTGGATCCACAAGTTTTTGAGACAAGAAAGGATAAAAATGAATTTAGAACAGAAACATGGATATTCTTTTCTTGTTGTATTTGCTCAAGATATTTTTTCCCAAATTAGTTGAGAACCATGATGTTGAGACCTCAAAAACAGGGCAACTGAGCACAGAGGGACAGGGCGGAAAGGACTGCAACTTGCTCCCAGGGACTGGAGAAAATTAAAAAATAAAAAGAAAATAAAAAAGGTTGGAATCCATCAATCTTCTGTGCTAGTCGTCCTCGCCTTCATCCTCCTCTCCTTCTTCCCCTTCATCCTCATCGTCATCTTCTTCCCCTTCATCCTCATCTCCTTCTTCATCAATATCTTCCAACCCTTCCTCCTCTTCATCATCATCATCATCATCATCTTCTGCCTCTCCTTCTTCATCATCCATATCGGGAACCAAATAGTACTGCAAGGGATTTGGCCAAATATCATCTTTGATGACCTCTCCTAACTCGTCAGCACCTGCGTCAGAATGGTCAGTAAACCAGGTAAAGAAGCTCTCTGGCTCTTCATGCTGTCTCTTCCTGCTGGCCTTATTCTGCGTTTGACTTGAGCGTTTTGTCAAATCCTTTCCAGATTTCCATTTGATCTCGGTGGACTTTGAAGACGGGTCACCACTCTCATTCAGATGAAATTCTTTGGAGAGAACTTTATTTTCAAAGTAAGGATTTTCATCAAAATAAAAATCTATTCTGTAACCTGATTTAATGTCTTCAAATTCTGTCACTTCAACTCTGGTCAAATAATGCAGAGCCTCCTCGTCTTCCTCCCCAAGCAGTGCAGACACTTGTGGATGGTTGACAAATGTTGTTACCCAAAAATTTGGGATTTTGGCGATCAATTCTGACCTCTTCTGAAAAAATGGTTGGCGAAGTTTGTTATATTTTTGTTCTACTTTCAAAATTTCCTCACTGGCTTGTTCATTAAGTCTGTCTATTTCATTTTGCACTTCATCAATATGTTCAATTGCTTCTTGCTGTTCTTTTTCTCCCTTCGGCAGGCCCGGAGAGGCCGACTTGTCCTCCAGCTTCGGAGCAGCAGCCGGTCTGGGTTTCTTGGGCTGAGGCAGGATCGCAGATTGCCGCTTCGGGGCCATGGCGCGAGGGAGGTGGCCGGGAGACAGAGGCCAGAGCCCCGATGTTCACAGCAGGAAGAAACTCGCAGGAACTGGAAACCTAACTCTTATAATTAACCCAAGAGAAATATATGTTTCATAGGTTCATAGGAGAACTTAGATGTTGGCATTTATCAGATACTATCGCTGGGTAGTGGAGTTGCTCTAGTTTAGGAACATAAGTGTATGTGCACAATGCATGCTTTGGTCATAGTTCTGTAATTAGAAGCTAATGCCCAACACTATATAGCCAAGTGTATGTATATAAAAATTCGACTTGGGGTGGATAAAATAAAAGACGAGGAACAGTATTTGTATAATTAAATGTGTGTATAAATTTTTCATGTATATTTAAGGATATTTTTCAAACAGAGAGTAATGAGGAATTAGCCAAATATAGGATCAGAGTAGAAAATCAGAATTAAGATTAATTAAGAATTAAGTCAAGGTAAATGAGGATTTGAATAAGTGAATCTGGTATCAACTTGAGGGGTGTGTTCAATGAGCAAGTCCCTTGCATTAATAATAACAGGAAGCACCCCATAAGTCACTGAAGTTTATGACTTGTAACTGATGATAGAAAACAGGATCAACTTCACCCTTCACATGTTACTTGAAGGAAGAGTGGAAAACAAAGGCAAATGAGAGAGAATATCAAATTACACTTTAAAACTTAGACTTTCCCAGTTAACACACACTAAGCATAGTTGACTTCATATCTCAATGTTTTTTGAAGTTATTTTAGTATCTCTTTAGCAAAAATTATATGAAATAATTCCGTCTACTCTGACTAGTTTATTTTGTTTGCGCTCAGTTCAGACGGAGCCTCATCATAATTTCTAATAGGATCTAAGTATATATTTTTTTCCAAATTGCAGCAAATATACTTTGCTAAGTCATTCTTCTTAGATGGAATTAAATTACTTACCTTGGTAATGGAGAGTCTGTGGAAAGATGTAAATGAGTTGTTAACATGGCACTTCATTGCCACAATAATTTAGAGCCACTAGCTAGCTTGATGTGTCTGCAATAAATGTTTTATTATTTAGGAAAAATTCACTCTACAAGTTTCCATGTGCCATGCTCATTCGTGCTGTAAATCAACAAAGATCAGCAGACTGAATAGAAAAATGAAAAGCTTATTTAGAAACTGACATAAGCTTTCAGATGAACAGGGACGGTTGAAGTTAACTGCATTCATTTTTCTTTGCTTGTCAGCCTTGCCACTTGAATTTCACTGCTAAAGATAGGAGATAGCTTGCTTTATGAAATTATGTCCAGGGGAGCTGTGCTTACATTTACATAGATAGAGTCGTAATAAATGGAATATAAAGAAGCCATGCTAAAGTGACAGTGGCTCTAAATATATGAAGTTCACCATCCTCATGCCTGCAGACTTGATGGTACTATTCTATGTAGAAGAAAAACCCATGTTAGAACCAAGAGTTTCCAGAATTTTCCAGAAACTGTTCAGAATTCCCAGGCTATAAGCACTGGGTATTTTAGCATTTATAAAATGCCTGGGAATTTTCCCTTGTTTCTATTCTGATAAGGTCAGTAGCACAGGAAACTTTTCGCCCTGCTTTTCCAGCATGGTGAGGCCAGGGAAGAAGGTCACAGAGAGCTATGGTCATCCTCATCATGAGAACTCACCAGGATTGCTTAGAATGCCAGTGTTTACTATACACAAAGTGCTTGGTATTGCAACAATGAGGGGTGAAACCTAGCTGTTGTCTTCCTCTTGTCAAAGATGACAGCATCATGGGACACCAGTGACAGCTTTTTCTGTACAAAAGGACACAAATCAAAGATAGCCACCCATCTCAGCCTTACTTTCATAATAATATTATGAATATTACAATATATAATTATATAAGTCTATAAAATAAATAATATAGTAAATGTAATATATATATATATATAATATAATGAATAGTAACTAGTCGTGATTAAATTCTTAATTCTCATCTTCAATGACTTTTAAATCTGCACTGCATAGTAATCAATGATCCTTTTCTATTTAAAGTTTGTCTGTGAATTAGTGAAATGTTAACCACCTTTTGAGGCTAACACTTCCTTAGGGTAGCCTTGTCTTGATTTAAGGTCCTGCTGCCCTAGTTGAGAAGGAAAAAATACATTTTATTATTGATTTATTTATGACTGTCAAAAAGAAATCACAGAAGGGTATCATTTGAGTTAAAAGGCAAATATAGACATAGCTGTGTGAAGAAGATGCTTCACAACAAAGACCAAGTAAATGGTGAGTCACAGGAAGTGCAGCTTATGGAAACCTAGGCACAAATGGAGATTCTTGTGAGGTATAAGAAGGGGCTTCTTAAGGAAACACCATCATGCATTCAGAAAAAGGAAGCAGCTCTACTGCTGTATCTTTTAGGGGTGAGGTGGAGAAAGCATAGTTTAACAAACGTTAATGAATATTATAGCATACAATATATTTCATTGTAATAGTTATGTATATTATTTATGTATTATGGGATTTATTAGAATGACTTTCAAGCTGTGAAACTATGTCCAACAATGGCTGTCTACCAATGAAATGTTCAAGGATTCAGTAGCTGTTCTATCCATGACACTGGATATGTCAACTCATCTTCAGTATTTACTGAATCTGGAAGAGGTAGACTCTAATGCCAGTGATGGAAAGTGTTTGCCAGCAAGAATAATTCCACACATTATATAGGCTGTCACCAGAAGGTATGGTTCACATATAAACTGGATCTTCCCACTTCAGAAGACCTAGATTTATGATGAATCTTTCCACTTCAAAAGATTTAACTAAGGAAGATCTCTCACAAGTACACCCAGCCTCTTGGCTTTTAGTTAATCCCAGATGTACTGAAGTTGACAACCAAGAATAGTCACAATACCATGTGATCTAGCAATACTCAGAATATTTTCATCACCCTGAAAAAGGTCTGTGCCTTTTTCAAATAAGCAAGTCACTTAAAGACAGTATTTCCTTTTCTATCCGTGTAGAAACCTATGTTGTTTTTGCTACATGCTGGTAAACACACACATATACTTCTATATCTAGCTTTATTTACTCAGATATTTTTGAGATTCATAACACTAGTCCTAAAAAATAGCAGTAATTCATTGCATAAGAAATTACATTATAGATTTTTACCTTTTCTAAGGGGTATAATATTGAACTGTTTCCGATGATGGCTGTCTACCAATGGAAAGTCCAGGCATCCAGTAGCTTTTCCATCCCTGAAACTCTGACACAAACATGTTAAGGAAGGAAGGTCTTGAATTATTTCACTGTTCAAGGAACTATCATCAGTTATGTTGAGAAAGTCACAATAGCAGGAGCTTAAAGCGTTGGTCACATTCCCCCACAATCAGGAAGCAGAGAGGGGCAAATGCCTGGAAGTCCTCACTCTCTTCACCTCATCCATCTCAAGATTTCCTGCCCAAGAGTGACCCCAACTCCAAAATTAAACTGGATCTCCTCATACCAATTAGCATACATAATCTAGATAACCCCAACAAGCATGTCCAGAGGCTCATCTCCCAGGTGATTCTAGATTCTGTCTCAGTGGCAATTAATACTAACATTAACTCAGTCAGCTATAAGAACTATGGTAGGATGCTGGATTACGTGTTTGAAATTAATATGGACCCTGAGTTCCCATCATTGTGAAATATTTGCTATGCTCAATATCTTGAAACTTACAAGAAGTCTGGAGACGTAAATGTTAACAGTTATAAATCTTCCTTGTAAAGGTCTAACAACAGACTGACCATGTGATCCATCCATTTCACTACTAGATGCATAGCCAAAGGTGAAATCATTCTACCCCAAAAGAGCAGTACTATGCATAATACCTAAAAATATCAGGTCAACCCAGATACCTCTGGTGGGTAAATTGATAAGGAAAGTCTGTTGCACATGCATGTGCACACACATCTATGTTACATCTATAACACACATATATGTCTAAACACACACATGTAAGTGACATCTATACACACAAGTGTGTGTGCGTACAAATAACACACACATATGAAAAAGGATGAGAACACTATCTTTTGCAGCAATATGGTTGGAACTAGAGATCATTATCTTAAATAAAAGAGCCACACAGAGACAAATATCAGAGAACGTCATTTACTTGCAGAAACTGAAGAATGGAATCCTGTAATAGTTGTGAGACTGGAAAGGACATAGGGGAAAAGTTGAGATTAGAAGAATTATCTGTGGTTCTTTTCTATTATAGCATTGTGACTTCAAGTTAAAATAATTTATAATGTATTTAAAAATAACTAGAGGAAGTTCCCCAGGTATGAAAAGAACTCATGTTTGAAGAGATGTAGGTACCTAGTGCTCTATATATTTGTTGCTCTAATAAAATATCTTGACAAAAGTGACTTAAGAAGGGGGTTTGTTTTGGCCCAGTGTTGAAGGCAGAGTTTATTGTAGTGGAGAAGTCAAGTCAGCAAGTGTTGGAGGCAGTCGGTTTCATTGCATCCACTATCAGGAACAGAGTGATAAGTGCTAGATTCCAGCATCTCACATTTTCTACAGTCCAGGATCAGAATCCAGGGAATGGCGCCACTCACTTTCAGGATGGGTTGTCCCATCTCAATTAACCTAATCAACGTGATTTCTCACAGGTGTGCCCAAAGACTGAATAATCCCTTCACAGGTGTGCCTGGAGATTTGTCCTGTCATAGTGATAATTAATACTAACCATCACAACCTGATTTGATCACTTCATGTTATATACAGATAATAAATTATTATAATGCATCCCATAAATGTGTGTAAATATTATGTCTCATTAAAAATATCATAGAGATGAATCATGAAAATTAGTAAATCATACTATTAAACAGCATTATCTGAAAGAAAAACGAATTTCTTCAACTGGAAAAGATTTGATCTTTAATGGATTCCAGTTGTCACTTTTGTAATAGGAAGTGATAATAAAGGGAAGGAGGAAAAGAGTGGGGAGAGGGCAGAGAGAGAGAGACAGAGAGAGAGAGAGAGAGAGAGAGAGAGAGAGGCAGAGAGACAGAGAGA